AGTTCGTATATATTGTTTTTCACACTGGCTCTTTCCCTTTACCCACCCTTCACTCAACCCATCAAATTGTGCAACTCTATGATTAAGCAAACCGCCCCCCCGCCCATTCTCACTCCTCTGTTCTCCACCCCCTGGGATTCTCAAGCTCATATTCAAGAATGGTTTTATACAGTAGTTGTCTTTATGAGACTGAGTAGTTCACTCAGCATAATGCTCTCAGTCCCTCCAAGTTGGGTAGTAATTTATAAAATCACTGCTCCTGCATGCCCATTATGGAAATGTAATTTAATTTCCCAATTCCACTGAGGTTGGACTTTTGGGGCTGTTCCATGTTCTTGCTATCAGACTGGTGTACAAGTCTCTGTTTGTGACTCAGTTCTCATTTTCTCAGAGTATATTCCAAGTGGTGGAATAGCTGGGTCACATGAAATTTCTATGTTCAGCTTCTTAAGTGTACATCAAATTGCCTTCCAGAGTTATTGTACCATTTTATAATCCCATCAACAACGTATAAGATTCCTATTTTACCACATCCTTCTTGCCAACATTTATTACTTGCTACCCTGCTAAACTTTGCCACTGCTACTGGGGTGAGATGGTATCTCACTGTGGTTTTGATTTGCATCTCTCTTATTGCCACTGATTCTAAGCATTTCTTCATGTGTCTGTTCGTAATCTGAATGTCCTCCTCTGTGAAAATTCTTTCCATGTCTCTTGCCCATTTTATAACTGGATTATCAGTCTTTTTCTCCTGGAGGCTCAGGGGTATTATGTAAACTTTCATTATGAGACCCTTGTCTGAGATAGTTATTGCCAAATGTTTGTTCTCAGTCAGTGGGTTTTCTTTCAGTCCTGTTTTATAAGTAGTGTTATGTAGTATTTGTCCTTTTGTGACTGAGATATTTCATTCCACATAATGTCCTCTAAATTCACCCATGTTGTGTAATATTTTATTAATTCCTTGTTTTTCAGGGCTGTGTAGAATTCCATTGCATGAATATAGTTTTT